TTTTACTCTGAAGTGATGACACCCACATTAGAAGCCCTACCCCTCTGCAGATAGATTGTTAAATTTCTTTGGAAAGCAGTTCTCTTGTTTGAGACTAGAGGTCAGATAAATTTTTACTGCTATATGTATGCCTATAGGAGTGGTAGGATGGTACAGAGGGCCAGGTGTTGTCCATGTTGTTTCATGGGCAGTTTTACAATTAATTATCCTGATTATTACCCCCACATCTTACTCCTGCTCTCAATTCCTGCTGAATCTAGCTTGGAACTACTCTTGAGGAATGCATTTCCGTGGAAGCTTTCACTACTCTGGTTTATTTATGGGTATAATCTATCTACTTTCTGCCTTCCAAAAGCTCATCAGCATCTTGGGTCTGCTGACAGTTCTTCACACTCTGTCAGGGGATTTATTTTCTATTTGTACTTCCTCACAGTCATTTCATTAGGCTCAAATAGGAAGTCTCAACGTCCTTCTTAAAACTAGATGCCCAAAAGTGAACATGGGACCCAAGATAATATTCCCTACTTTCTGAAGGAATGATTGCATGAATGACCTCATAAATGTAGAAATTCATAGCAGCTACTCTGCTAGTTTAGCTGCTCTGGGTATTTACACTACTTCTCTGCTGCAGCCATCTTGTGAGAACTTGAGCAGAGAACTGCATTCTCTTTGGAGACTCCCATTGCAGATCCCTCTATACCTCTGCTTTAATCTGCTCTGGTGTTCTCTAGGCCTGCTATTCAGCTACCATCCTAGGACTTCCTTTCACTGTTCTCATGTTTCCTGGCTTCCATATCTTTCTTGGTTTATTCTCTTGTTTTGCTTGAGTATATACTAGAAGCTTCCTAAGAGAGGATACATGATAAGTAAATTTTTTGAGTCTTTGCACATATGGATATTTCTTTATACTTGCATTTTATTGATAGTTTCAATGGATTTAGAATTATAGAATGCAAATAATTTTCTGGCAGACGTTTGAAGCGTTGATGTTTACCTTCTGCTGTTGCTGTTGAGAAGGCCAATGCTATTTTATTTATTTATTTTTTTTGTGGTACGCGGGCCTCTCACTGTTGTGGCCTCTCCCGTTGCGGAGCACAGGCTCCGGACGCGCAGGCTCAGCGGCCATGGCTCACGGGTCCAGCCGCTCCGCGGCATGTGGGATCCTCCCGGACCGGGGCACGAACCCGTGTCCCCTGCATCGGCAGGCGGACTCTCAACCACTGCGCCACCAGGGAAGCCCAGCCAATGCTATTTTGATTCTTGAATATGACATTTTATTTCTCTCCGGAAGCTCTTAGGATCTTTTAAAAAAAATTTATAATTTCTTCACATGTGGTCAATCTGCCATGTTAAACAGATTTGTCATGTGTTTTAATTTTGTCTCCCCAGGGAAATAGCAAGTATGGCAGAAAGAGCATTAACTCTGAAAAGTTATGCCTAGGTGGATAGATGTGATTATTAGTAAAATTATGTATGTAAAGCATCTGGCACATATTGATGCCCCATCTCCCAAAAGTGAACGTATATACTTGAGAGCTGGTCCCAGGACTTATAAAACCTTATGATCCTCACAACACCTGGCACATACTAGGCACATACTAGATTCTCAATAAATATGACTTGATCTCACCATACACAAAAATAAACTCAAAATGGCTTAAAGACTTAAGTATAAGACATGACATCATAAAATTCCTAGAAGAGAAAATAGGCAAAACATTCTCTGACATAAATCATACCAATGTTTTCTTAGGTCAGTCTCCCAAGGCAGTTGAAATAAAAACAAAAATAAACAAATGGGACCTAATCAAACTTACAAGCTTTTGTACAGCAAAGGAAACCATAAACAAAATGAAAAGACAACCTACTGAATGGGAGAAAATATTTGCAAATGATATGACTGACAAGGGCTTAATCTCCAAAATATACAAACAGCTCATACAACTCAACAACAAAAAAACAAACAACCCTATCCAAAAATGGGCAGAAGACCTAAATAGACATTTCTCCAAAGAAGACATACAGATGGCCAAGAGGCACATGAAAAGATGCTCAACATTGCTAATTATTAGAGAAATGCAAATCAAAACTACAATACGGTACCACCTCGCACTGGTCAGAATGGCCATTATCAAAAAGTCTACAAATAACAAATGCTGGAAAGGGTGTGGAGGAAAGGGAACCCTCCTGCACTGTTGGTGGGAATGTAAGTTGGTGCAGCCACTGTGGAAAACAGTATGGAGGTTCCTCAGAAAACTAAAAATAGAATTACCATATGATCCAACAATCCCACTCCTGGGCATATATCCAGACAAAACTGTAATTCAAAAAGATACATGCCTATGTTCATAGCAGCACTATTCATAATAGCCAAGACATGGAAACAACTTAAATGTCCATCGACAGATGAATGGATAAAGAAGATGTGGTACATATATACAATGGAATACTATTCAGCCATAAAAAGAACGAAATAATGCCATTTGCAGCAACATAGATGCAACTAGAGATTATCATACTAAGTGAAGTAAGTCAAAGAGAAAGACAGATATCATAAGATATCACTTATTTGTGGAATCTAAAATATGGCACAAATGAACCTATCTATGAAACAGAAACAGAATCACAGACATAGAGAACAGACTGGTGGTTGCCAAGGGGGAGGGATGGAGTGGGAGGCTGGGGTTAGCAGATGTAAGCTTTTCTATATAGAATGGATAAACAACAAGGTCCTACTGTATAGCACAGGGAACTATATTCAATATCCTGTGATAAACCATAATGGAAAAGAATACCAAAAAAGAATGTATATATATACATAACTGAATCACTTTGCTGTACAGCAGTAATTAACACATCATTGTAAAGCAACTATACTTCAATAAAAAATATGATTTGATGACGATGAGTCTTTGCCATTATTTTTCTGTGGGACTTTATTTATGATATTTATCTTCACTGTGTCTCAATTTGCATATTTGTCAATGGGGAAAATACTTCTTGACTTGCTTATTGTTCATGTGTTGTGAAGCTTCAGTTAATGAATGTGAAAATTTTCAAAGAAGTTAAAATCCCTCTACAGATGTCAAGTACAGTTTCTGGTCTCAAAGCTGAATGAATTTTTTTTTTTAACATCTTTATTAGAATATAATTGCTTTACAATGGTGTGTCAGTTTCTGCTTTATAACAAAGTGAATCAGTTATACATAAACATATGTCCCCATATCTCTTCCCTCTTGCATCTCCCTCCCTCCCACCCTCCCTATCCCACCCCTCTAGGTGGTCACAAAGCACCGAGCTGATCTCCCTCTGCTATGTGGCTGCTTCCCACTAGCTATCTATTTTACGTTTGGTAGTGTATATATGTCCATGCCACTCTCTCGCTTTGTCCCAGCTTACCCTTCCCCCTCCCCGTATCCTCAAGTCCATTCTATAGTAGGTCTGCATCTTTATTCCCGTCTTGTCCCTAGGTTCTTCTGACCATTTCTTTTCAGATTCCATATATATGTGTTAGCATACAGTATTTGTTTTTCTCTTTCTGACTTACTTCACTCTGTATGACAGTCTCTAGGTCCATCCACCTCACTACAAATAACTCAGTTTCGTTCCTTTTTATGGCTGAGTAATATTCCATTGTGTATATGTGCCACATCTTCTTTATCCATTCATCTGTTGATGGACACATAGGTTGCTTCCATGTCCTGGCTATTGTTGAATGAATCTTCCTAATTTTCTAAAATCCCATTTATTAAATCCAAAGGATATAGAAAAAGAACTGTAACATTTACCATAATAAATAACAGAGAACACACAATTTGTAATTCAGATATTAATGAGAAATGTACAGGAAAAGGGCACTTTTATTTTCTAAGCAATAGAGTAAAAATAAAATATAAAAAGTAATGGAATCAAGTATAGGCAGCATTGGAACCACTCAGTCATGCAGAGAAGCTGTGTAAGTGAAATTAATCTATCTATATCTAACAAGAATAAAGGCAACCCATATATAATAGCATGCAAATAAATTAATTAGTCTTCAATTTAAACTTCTATTCTCAAAGCTGATTATTATCTATTGAGTGCTTATAAAAATTTTTTATTGGAATATAGTTGATTTACAATGCTGTGTTAGTTTCAGGATACAGCAAAGTGAATCAGTTATACATATACATATATCCACTCTTCTTTAGATTCTTTTCCCATATAGGCCATTACAGAGTACTGAATAGAGTTCCCTGTGCTATACAGTAGGTCCTTATTAGTTATCTATTTTATATATAGGAACATGTATATGTCAATCCCAATCTCCCAATTTATCCCTCCTCCCCTTGCCCCCGGTAACCCTAAGTTTGTTTTCTACATCTGTGACTCTGTTTTGTAAATAAGTTCATTTGTACTCTTTTTTTAAGATTCCACATATAAGCTATATCATATATATTGAGTGGTTTTCAAATTTCATTTCTTAGCAGCAGAATCCTTTATTTTCCAACTGAGATCTTACAGAACAGATAAATGTGAAGCTGCTCTTTTTAAAGCAGAAACTTCAGAATGAAGAGGCCAAACAAAACTCTTGATCTTCTCTATTCCCCCTGCAGCAGACCTTAGACTCCTCTAAGGAAATAGAGTTTGAAAATCATTGGTTTAAGTAAGGTGATCTATTAGTCCAAGTAAGGTTTTATTAAAGTGGTCATGAGTAAAACTGGCTATGAAAAAAAAGTGTCTTAATTTCTAAAGCAGGGTCCATAATCTATTCTGGTACCACTAATCAAAGTATCAAAGCTTCAACAAGTTATGACTGTCCTCCACAACAGAGGTATAAACTTGAGACTCCCTTGTCAATGAGTTCTGTTCTTTTCTGCTTCAGACATTAGTATGTGGGGTCCTAAAACTGCTTGAGGTTTTCAAACAACTAAATTCTGACTTGAAAATACCACCTACTGCTGTGGAAGGAAGGGAAGTATGCCTATTTGTAAAGAAACAGAAAAAAGTCTTTAACTTACCCAGAGCACAAGGACATTCATGAGATGGTCTATGTGTGTCCGTTTAAAAGTGGACTTTCCACTGTTCTGCATTAATTTGGTGTCTGGTCCTAAGTGAAACAGGGAGACATCACCTCTTAGAATCACTGAATATTCTCAAGAGGATTGAAATTGGGTTAAAATGTACCTTTATGACCACTTTATCAAACCTCAATGCTAGGGGATAAAGTCCTGGAGAAAGGCTCATGCTTGGTGCCAATAACTCAAAGAATGGAAAAGTTGTTTCTAAGGATAATCCCAACTACTTCTGCAAAGTGCATCAATGCTTGACACCTCCCTCTCTTTGCTGCACCTTAGTCTAGTTTTTCGTTGATAAGTCAGAATAGGAGCCACAAGCTTCTCTCTCATCTGGTTTATTTAGCTTAGAAAAGGGATTTTCTGATAAGGAGAACTTCACCTTCTTTTGAGGAAACCCATTGCTGGACCAGGCTCTATTTAAAGTTTCTAATTAAGAAATGGAGAAAGGAAAAGGCAATGGCAGTGATTTCTCTTGAGGTGGAAGCTTGGGAGCTGAGATTTCTCTGGAGCTGAGAGACAGAGACTCTGCATTTCTTCATGACAAGGCAGATAGTAAGTAGAAATAAAGAGCTTTTTTTTTTTTTATAAGAGCTCCTATAGGAACCAACATTTTTTTTTTTTTAATTTTATTTATTTATTTATTTTTGGCTGCATTGGGTCTCCGTCGCTGTGCGCGGGCTTTCTCTAGTTGCGGTGAGATGGGGCTTCTCTTGTTGCGGAGCACGGGCTCTAGGCACACGGGCTCAGTAGTTGTGCCTCGTGGGCTCTAGAGTGCAGTCTCAGTAGTTGTGGCGCACGGGCCCAGTTGGTCCATGGCATGTGGGATCTTCCTGGACCAGGGCTCAAACCCGTGTCCCCTGCACTGGCAGACAGATTCTCAACCACTGCACCACCAGAGAAGCCTTAAAGAGCTTTTAATGGCCACTGGGACTAGAGTTGGAAATTATTATCTTACTGCGGTTGTTGTCATCAATGCCCACTGTCACCGAGGGCACAGGGTGGCACAGAATCTTCCTCCATTTTCCAGCACTACCTTATAACTTAAGAAAATCCCTCAATAAGTATAAGGGATTATGGTTCTAAATGCCATCTCAAGATGGGCCACTGCTAATGAGCCACATGTGCCTTTTCTCTGGTATGAACACTTCATATTGTATTTTATATTCTACATAATGACTGCCGTGTTTGTTTTTTCCTCATGGGAGCAATCCACATGTATACTCTCCCCTTTCACATGTTCCCCTTTCATATGCTAATACTATGTGTACTTCTATGTGTATACCTTCTCTTGTGTCTAGATATGTTTAGAAAGAATTATGAATGCTCTGTGGTCTTGGAACACAAAGCCTTCCTCTAACAAAGGCAGGGCTGATATGCTGGCAGCTCACTGCTTGGAAAAGAGGTCGTTTTTTTCTTAAATTATCCATCCATCTATCCATCTACCTGCCTCCCTTTCTATCTGTCTCAAAGCCATAGTGTTCTGGTACATATCTGAGCACCATATCTGCATCCTGAAAACTAAGTACCCACAACGTGGCTACTAATGGAATCCAGCAGGCTGGGGGTCTGTGGTCCCCACAAAGACGTACCAGTAAAAATTACCAAGCCATAGCACCAGTCTGTATTCCTGATGATGCAGCCTCGGAGAATCAGCCTGTCATGATCCAGGACGTAATTTTTTCCTTTATAAATCAGTATTCCTGTGAATCTGTCCAACCTGTTATTGGGAGACTCACACCTCACTTCTCCTGAAAAAAAAAAAAAAAAAGAAGGAATAAGAGTCCTGACTCTGTAATCTTAATTCTTTCCTAACAGGACAGAGGAGGCTTAACAGAAAAGAGGAAAGAACATCCCCTTTTCAAAATATACACACATCTTTTGCCTATCCTTTCTCAGCCGCTGCCCATTTCTCACCAGGCAAAGGGTTCTGGGCATCAAAGAAGAGTAATTCTGTGACATGGGTCATCCAGAGAGAGAACAACCCACACGATAACCTATCACCATCAGTACTTCTAGATCAAATGAGCTGAATCTGAAGAAATTTTAAAATACTTAAAGCAAACCTAGTATTTGTTTCAAAATGGAAATAATTTGACTTTTTCATGATTAGTAAAGTAAAATACATTGTAAATACATATACAACATTGTAAATACATATACAACATTAAAAGGAGAAAGTAAAACTCACCCACTGCCTCGAAATAAGCACAATTAAACTTCTGTAGTACATCCTTCCAAGTTTTTTTCTATACATGTACTCATAAACATACATATGTTTCCAAAAACAGGTTTATGTTACATATACTATGCATAGTGTATTGCAATCTTTTTCATTTATTAATATGTTGTGAATATTTTTCCATGTGGATAAATAGCAACTTGCACATCGTTTTTAATATAGAATTCACTGATGGATGTACCACACTTTAACCAGACATCTACTAATAAAGATTTGGGTTGGCAAACCTATTCCCTAACTCACCATCAAAGGCAGATAGTAGCTTCAGGTTATCTTCCATCTCACTGGTAACTGAGATGGCTTGCTTCACTTTCAAGTTGGTTTCACTAGAGTAAAGAATGCACATACATAACAGCATCACAGGTCCAGTTTCTCCAATTTTAGAAAACAGTTGTTACCAATAGAGCTTGGGCTATAGGCTTGAGCCGTGAGAGTCACTCCCACTGTTATCCTCTCTCAAGAAAAGTATTGAGGTGGGATGGTTCCACAGGGAAGCTGGGTATTAGCCCACTTGTTCCCCTCTCTCCCTGAAACACACATCAACTGCTTCAACCAACCTATGAGACCTTGTGGGTCAGATGCTCTAGAAAAGCTGAAGAAACATCACAAGACAACCTGGAGGGGGTACCTGCTCCCTTCAAGAATAAGGAGCAGGTCCTGGTAAGAATGTGCATATACCTCCAAGTAAACATACTCCTCATCTCATAAATATTTACAGGATCCATGAAGGGATCCCACTTAACCATTTGCTGATACAAGAATGCACAGAGACAGAAGTAAAAAAGAAGCCACATTTCAAAAAGTTTGTGGGCACCAAGAGGAATAGTTGTAAGGACGCAGATCGATACAAAACTCCACAGGACAAGCTCTCTGAAGATGGCCTCTATACTCCAAAGATCTTAGCTTTTGCACGTTAATGAATTTCTACCTTAAGTCCTTTCTAGAACATGGTTTATCAGTACATAATTACCTCCATATTCATTCCCCCCCTGGAAACTTTGGAACTATATTCTGAAATTTTACAGTTCTGTTAACGTCTTTCCTACCACTCAGCATTACTGAATATAGATAGACAGAATGTCTCCAGTTTAGAGATGGAGAATACGGAGTTTATTTGCCCAGATTCTGCACCAGTGGATGCTAAATTATTGCTGTCAAGAGCTCAGCCTTAGACTTGAGGTCCCAAGAGTCTGGCCTCCTATCTTATCTAGATATTTCTAGCCTCTTTTAGCACTTCATTCTCTGCATCATGTTCTCCCTCAGTGAGAAATCACTCTAAGCTGGCTCAACCGTCTTAATGGATTATCAGGAGGGAACACTCACCCGTCCAGTTCTGCTGTTTCTATATATGTCAGACTGTAGGGCTCACTGCTAGAGAGTAACAGTATATCAGCCTGTGGTCAGAAAAGTCAGAGAAGATAAGGAAGGCAGGAAGGCAGACTTTTAACATTACAGTGTAACAAAAGCAATTACCTCAGGAACAGATGTTCATCTTAAGAATATTATAGACATTTGGTTTACTTTCTTTGTCTAGGACCCATCACTGCTACCACACACCCCCTCTCCAAAAACTAGTCATGTTTTACCTGTAGCTATGGTGAGAAATGGACAAGAACAAACTTCTTACCACAGGAGATGTTGATCTCTGGATGCAAAGTGAGGAAGGTGAAGGTCACCAAAAGGAGTGGTCACAGAAGTTGCTAAAAGGGTTCCTATTCAAGCCAAAAGAGAAAAAGCCACAGCCCAAAGAGGTACTCACCGTGACAACCTGATTATTTTCTAGTTTTATTATATCTCCCACTTGGACATTCATCCATTTGTCTGTCACTATCCTGCAAGAAAGTGAGCCTTGAATGCCTGCATGCCTGCTCTGAGAATTTCCCCACAGCCCTGTTTTGACAATCAAGAAGAAAAAAAAAAAAGCTGAGATGAACTCAAGGCTCAAAGGAGGACCAAACTGGGTTTGTGATACTCCTTGCTACAATCAAGAATGGGGCCCATTTCTCTTGACTTAAGACTATAAGAGTTTTCTAAAACTCTATAAGGGTATATGTAGACATACATGCACATAATTTTTCTTTAAATAAAAGCAATATATGCATATGGTAAAAAAAAAACATTTCAAATAATTAAGAAGTATGTAAGGACTTCCCTGCTGGCGCAGTGGTTAAGAATCCGCCTGCCAATGCAGGGGACACAGGTTCGAGCCCTGGTCCGGGAAGATCCCACATGCTGCGGAGCAACTAAGCCCGTGTGCCACAACTACTGACCCTGCGCTCTAGAGCCCGTGAGCCACAACTACTGAAGCCCACGTGCCTAGAGCTCGTGCTCCACAACAAGAGAAGCCACCGCAATTAGAAGCCCACACACCACAACGAAGAGTAGCCCCCGCTCACTGCAACTAGAGAAAGCCCGTGCGCAGCAACAAAGACCCAATGCAGCCAAGAGTAAATTAAAAAAAAAAAAAAGAAGAAGTATGTAAAAGGAAAAAGTAAAGTCTCTTCTCTCCCCAAATTTTAGTTTTCCTTCCCCCAAGGTAGCCACTGTGAGTAATTTTTTGCATTTCTTTAGAGAAAATATCAATCCATATAATCCCATACAAGATAAACATTTAAAAATTACATAATAGATACATAATTTTCTGCACTTTGCATTTTTCATTTAATAATATATCTGGGAGAACACTTATAGAAGATGTGGCTCATTCCTCTTGATAGCTAAAAAATGCGGCTTTTAACTAAAGATGTGCTTGTAGCCAGAATTACTGAGAAATTAAGATGACAGAAATCACAACTTGAAAAACAAATTTTTTTCAATAGTAGCTTTGCTCAAACTCATGTGCTCTAGAAAAAGAAAGCCACTTTTTGGAATATAGACAACTCACCTCAAGTGTTACATCAGTCAAACATTCACTGGCTTACAAAGTCTAACCACTAGGGACCTGCTTGTGAACTCCTACTCTAAAACCACTCTATGACAAATTCTTCTCTAATAATCTTATAAAATCCAAGTGCTCAAGCTCCTTGGGAAGTTCATTTGACTAAATTCATTTGGTAACTCCCTAGCCTTGCAAATTTCTTACACACTCAGTTTTATCTTTTCTTTCTATTTCTATTACCTTCCTTTCTTTTTTAATTTTCTTTTTAATCACAACTGACTTTTTTGGTGGTATCTTATGGGAGGCTTCAACAGACCAAAACACTTAGGGAAATAATCCACCATGAGTAAGAATCAGCAGACACAATAAATAACAGAATTAGATGCCCAAGCATGTCACATAATAGAATCATACGATTAAAACTACAGCTGCTGGTATATATACAATGAAATATTATTCAGCCATAAAAAAGAATTAAATTTTGTCATTTGCAACGAGGATGGACTTGGAGGGTATTATGCTAAGTGAAATAAGTCAGACAGAGAAAGACAAATACTGTATGATATCACTTATATGTGGAATCTAAAAAATACAACAAACTAGTGAATATAAAAAAAAAAGAAACAAACACACAGATAAAGAACAAACTAGTGGTTACCAGTGGGGAGAGGCAATATAGGGGTAGGGGATTAAGAGGTACAAACTATTACGTATAAAATAAGCTACAAGGATATATTGTACAACATGGGGAATATAGACAATATTTTATAATAACTATAAATGGAGTATAACCTTTAAAAATTGTGAATCACTGTATTGTACACCTGTAACTTGTATAACGTTGAACATCAACTATACTGCAATTAAAAAATATGTTTTTAAAATATAGCTCCTGGGTATTCTGTAAGGTCACCATGAAAAAAGACTGGACCTCAATCTTGAATTCTTTCAGATTTGTACTTCTTTGCAATCATGATTCTGCAAACACTGGTCACTTTTCCTTTCATACAATCTCTATTTGTTGAATTCTTTCCCATCCCTTAAGGCCCAGCACAAATATCACCTCTTCCAGAAAGTCTTCCTTGATTCCTTTAGCCAGCTATGATTGCTCATTTTTATTAATTCCTATGATAATTTTTTGTACCTCTTATGATAATCTTCACATTTTGCCTTATATAGAAATCACGCCTGTCTCCCTCTATTCCTGCCAAAGGTAAATTGCTCAAATTTTGCAGGAACCCACAAAAAATACAAACATTGACCCAATACTTTAGATAGATATGACCAAACACTACAGCAATGGAGTCAACACCAATATTTTCTTTATATTGCTAACAAAAAGATGTCCTAACCAAAGGCTACAGTAGAATGGTCAATAAGCCATGTAGAGTCGATTGATGTTCTAAAGACAGGTGTCTCCATGCTGACCACTGTACTAGTAATAACCACTTGCACATTAATACCATGTCATAATTTATTAATTGCTTTAATATATATTATTTTGTTTTCATTTTCATAAGCATCCTCTAAGGTATAGAATATTATCTTCACTTTATAGATAAGAAATATGAGGCCCAGAGAGGTCTGAGGTCACATAGGAAGTTCAGGGCATACTAGATCTAGAAACAAGTTCTTCTTATGTCCAACCTGAGGCTCTTTTCACTGTCCTGAATCACTTTTGCAAAGCACCCAGCACATCAAGTTTTAGCAAGGCCAATCCTCTCCCAGAGTTGGTCCAACCTAAACTGGCTTCCCTAGGACTTACCTGCCATCCATCAGCAGCAGAACAGAACGACTGTTGACTTGATTGTCGTTTTGGTGCCTTTTCTAAAATTATATAAGAAAAAGTTCAGGAAATAGACATAAAGCAAACTGCATGTAGAAGGTTAATATTTTGAAGTATTATTCAATGTAGTTCCCCTTTTTTGTAATTCTCCCTCACCCCCCTCCTTCACCCTCCCAACCCCAAGTCCTTCTACCATGAAAACCAGGCCAAGAAGCTGATTGTCTCTGAGAAGCTGGGGATGGAGGTCAGAAAAAGGACCAAGAGAGAAGAAAGAGACAAAATCTTGGCTTTAATATCAAGAGCCAAAGCCTGGGGTAATGAGAACAAACAACTTACGTCAAAAGCCACAGAGGAGAGAATGCAAAATGAGGGGTAGGACTAGAACCTCATACACCTTGGTAGGTGCAGGGAAGTTAAGTATTCACAAGCATGCAGCTACCTTCACCCCCAACCACAGTCAGCATAAGAAGCCTCTACCATGGACGCAGTGAGGAAAGAAGAATAGAGGTCCATTCAAAGACCAAATAAGAAGGTGACAAATAAGGGTATGTCCTGATGCTACGACTCACACAAATCCCCTCCTTCCAGTTGAGATTACTCCCTGCGAAAAGGGTAGGACTGGGAAGAGGGCAGAAAGAGTCCTGAATTTGTCGGTTTATCCTAAAGAGACTGAGTTCTAAACCAGAAGTAACTAGGTGGGTTATCCTGAATTGGCAAGTTTACTTTTCAGCTTTCATTAAAAAGGGTTGAGATGGTGAAGTGCTGGTTATGAGCTACATTGAGTTTAGTTACAGAAAATTAAGTTATATTTTTGCACACCTGAGTTGTGACTGAAATTTCAACCACTATATGTGCTAATTCTGGTTTTAAAGAGTTACAGAGTTAGAGCTGGAGAAACACCCTGCTCTCAAACTTTGGTATAAAAATCTATCCTGTCAAAATCAGAAGGACTCTCTTAGGGAAGCTTCAAGCAGGTCAACGGGATGGACTTCCCAAATCCCACTAGTAGGCGTAGTGCTGGTTCCTCACCCTCACCCTTCCTTGCTGGGCCTGCTGTAAAGAAGCAAAGAGGAAGCCATGCAGCACTCACTGAAAGCCAGTTTCTTCCTCCAAGGCCAGGAAAGGAGTCAGCCTCTGTTATGTCATGATCTTTCTAAAACCAGAGGGTTGCTAGCTATGTGTACCTGATAGAACTGAAAGTTGGAAAGGGAAATAAGGGAGAGTTGGAGAGGAGAAGAGCAATGTGGAAAGGGGAGATAAGAGCAGGAGAAAGCAGGGGGGACAGAGGGAGGAGGGAAGAGGAATATAAAAATGGGAGAAGGGTGAATGGAGAAAGGATGAGAGCAAACCCAGAGAGAGCTAACTGAAGGAAGAGGTGGGTTATGAAAAAGGAGATGGAAGGAAACCTGGAAAAAGGTGGCAGTAGGAAGAAAGAGAAAGGCCTTGCATTACCCCTTTCTGGCCATGTATGGCTCACCAATCTTGGGCTTAAGGGAATTTCATATTCCTCTGGGATGGATAAGGACATAGGGAAAGGAAACACCTCTTTCCTTTCAGTGCTTCTTCCTAGCAAAAGGTAGTCCTGGGGAGTCCTTCTTGCCCCCCACAGCCTGACTAGGTACAGTGAGAGACTAGAGGCCCAGGAAGCCACTTCACCACGTCGTCGATGGCATCTTTCACTGCTGTTATGGACAGCACCACCATCAGGGGTACCACAGTCGTGTACCATGCCAAGGAGGAGATCTGGGGAATCAACTGAAAGAGGGACGGGGAGAGAAACTTGGGTCAAAAAACTTAAAGGACAGTGTATTCCCTCCCAATCCCCACCCCACCACCATTTCCCCCTCCCTAGATTTATAATAAATTCAACTATCCTAGTTGCTTTCCATTGTTGTAGCCTCCAGACAACCACCCAAAAGTCAGGAAACACCTCTTAAGAAAGGATTAAAGAAGAGGAGATGGTAAATTGCTATGTATCTGTCCTGAACTCTAATACCTTTGTCTTGATGGCAAAGAGCCATTTCTCCTCTGATAATGAAGGTGCTGGGGGTAGGGCTGTAAGAGTGGACACAGGAAAACCACATAACCTCCCATGCCCCTCCAGCATAAGGGGAAATGAGATGATCCGTCTCTCTCTCCCAACTTGTGCCTACCCTGTGCTCTGCTTCCTTGCCCTGTGCTTGTGTTCTAAACCATTCTCCTCCCTCAGCACTCCCGTGTGTTAACTTTCTGTCAGGGAGGCTGAGACAAGAAGGAGGAATGGGATGGCAGCTGAGGTTGGGGTGAAGAGTCAAGTCTGTGGCCTTTTATGGTTAAGCTGAACTGTGGCCGTGCAGCCATGATGAGGGAGCACCCCTTTACTCGGGACTTGGCGACCTTGTCCCCTTCCTCTTGTAGAGTCTTGTTTCACCCTGGCTAATCCTGACCACAGCTACTCTAGGAGACTGGCCTGAGACTCCAGCCATCCATTTGCCTGTTATCTAAAGAGAGAAGACATCTCTCAGTTTAAGGAGGAGAAGGACTGATTACATAACCTGACCCCAGAGAGACTGATAAAATACTTTGTGGAAAAGGCCCTAAAAGGCAATACCTGTAGGAAAAGCAAAAAGAGGAAATATGCATTTGCAAGTCTCTGGAACTGTTCAAACAGGTTCATAGGCAAGAAGTTAAAGGCATTATATTTTGAGGTCTTGATGCTATTGTTCTGTGAGTAAAAGAACACAAGCACAATTAGACGAATGAAAGACCCCACCTCCCAGTCTTAACAAAAAGGACCAAGACCACTTCATAAAACAGGAAAAAGCCACAGCCCCCCAACATAGTGGGAGAAGGAGGGAAGAAGTGTTTTTCTCCCAACCCCCTTTTCTTTGAGGCCTAGAGAGGCCTAGAGTATGCAAAGTTGGCAGAGCTGATCAATATGGGACATTTTTAGGAGGGGCAGGATTTATTTACGCCCTGAATAGAATTCTTTGTTTATTGATGCCATTGATAATAATGATGATAATAAAATCAACAATAAAAACTTACACTTATTGAATAGTTACTATGTGTAAGGCACTATTCTAAGCATTTTATATGGAGCAACTTAATTTAATTCTCACAACCACCATATGAAGGGAGTAATATACTACCAACTTTTGAGGATGCAGAAATTGAGGAACTGAGGTTAATTTATTTGCCCAAGACCACACAGTTACTTGCAGAGTTTAGATTGTGCTGTCCCCTGAGCCCCAGTTCATTTGTACAGCCATCCAAATGCTTTTTTTTCTTAGAATCAGAAATCTTTCAGTTTCATCTTACCCTATGACCCAAGGTCCTTCTCAGCCCTAAACAGCAGGCAAGTTTGCCATTTGTGTTAGCTCTACTCAGAGCTCTCTAATGAAGCTTTTCTTAGCCTGAAACCCACTTTGTTGTGCCTTTACATGTTGCTTTCAATGCTGAAGGATATCAGATGCCAAAAGCAAATTACTGTCTTTCAACCTTAGCCCACTGAAGGTTCCTACACTGGTTGCTGTCAGCATTGGAGACTCACTTGCCCCTTAACTGTCCCGACAGAGGTCTGAATAGTTTTGGCCTACATCTAAGCTATTATTTTGCTGAGTGAAAATGGGAACTTGCTACCTCTTCAATCCTGATCTCAAGATGTTGACAAGACCATCTTACTTTCTACTTTGGGGTCTTCAGTCGTTTGACCTAAGATGTGAGAGTTTGAATCTAAGAGCTCAAGAAAAGCGGAAGAATGAGACCAAATAATCCCCTAAGGACAGGGCTTCTCCCCCACCGTCTCCATCCATAGGGCTTGATGAAAGAATAAACCCACCTGCAGTCCTGAAATACAGATACTGCTCAAGTATGAAGAATCTCTTGCTGGGTCCTACCTTGGGAAGACATCTGAACTCTTCTGTCAGAGAACCAACATCATTCTGTACTAAGGCTAAAACTTGCCTTGGAAGGCTAGATAGGCTACTCAGTCAAGCCTTGCCTAAGGTCTATTTCCCTAGGGAAGGGAAGCTGGTCAAACATTTTAGCACTTAGGAGTTTAAAGATCCAAGTTAAACCTAGGATTTCCTTCGTGTTTCTCCATGATTTTCCAATTAATGATCAATCAAACACTATACATTTCTCAAGGTTTGCTCTGTTCACAGCTCTATTATGGGCTATACTAGTAGAGGCTGAAAAAGAGTTAAACAAGATCTATCCTGGAGAGCTCACAGGTATGTCTTGAAAGGAGTTCTAACTAAATGACCTCTAAGGTCCTTTCTAGCTCTGAGAGTAGGTTATTCTAACATAGAAATAGTTTTCTTTGATCATAAGATACTCTGAATTTCTTGGTGTCTAAGTCCAGACGACTCTGATACTTGGAACCAAAGTTCTCTTGATCTTTTGCCTTACTGAAGCAGCTGGCTTTCATTACTGATTTTCCATTTGATTTTATAGTTAATGTATTTCAGGTTTCTATTCATTTGGGTAGCATTTGTTTAGAAAACAAAGACAAAAGCTAACCCGATTCTGTCTCAAGATAAACATAGCATTACTTCTTTACTAACTTGGCAACTAGAGTGTTTTGTTCTACTCTTAAATGTCAAACCAGAAGCAATATCTCAAGAATGTAGAACATCTGCTTAACTATGAAATTCCTCAGTGTTTGGTTCTTTTGGCATGATAGAGGTGGCAGATTTTGGTTTGGGCTATTTATTTATTTGGGCAGGGGTACCTGTTTGACTGCTAAAGCGGGGTATAGAGAACAGAAGGCCAAGTATATAATGAGAATCAGTAGTTAGGGGATTGAGAAGAGGAAAAGGAATAGGAATGGAAGTAATTAGAGAAATAGGATGAAAATGAGCAATGGATAGGCAGGGAAATGAAACGGTTGTTAAGTACATAATAGTCAAACCTGTTTATTTATTCATCAGCTATCCAGCAAATGTTTACTGAATGCCATTTATGTGCCAAATATTGTGATGGGAACAGTAGTTACAGAGATGAGTGCAACTTGTACCCTTTTGTCAAGGGGTAATAGTTTCTTGATGAAAGAAAACTAACATTTTTTTTTTCACAACCATATTTAACTCTAACAATCACCATGTATGGTGAACATTATTATGCTCTTTATATAGATGAGGGAACTGAAGAAAAGAAGTTAAATAATGTGCCTAAGGATACAAGGTTAGTAAAGACTAGAGCTGTGTTCAAACTCAGGTCTGTCTGATGCCAAAACCTAGTTTTACTGCACCATAGAGCTTCTTATGTAGCTCGTGAAGGTAGAGAGGGGGAAACCTGTTCCCATGGCCATATCCTAAATATTGTTATTATCCAGAGCCTCTCTAACTCAGAAATCATAAATATCCTACAGAGACTACAAATATGTATATCTATGTATATATATTATATACTTATAGCACTATATATATATATATATATATCTCTACATGTGCACAAAGTAACATATATGTAAAAATTGCTTGTAATTATAAAAGATTGGAAACAATCCAATGTCAATTTAAAAGGAAATGGTTACATAAACTATGCTTAATCTGCCTAGGAAATACTATGCAGTTGAAAAAAGAAGGAAAAAGCTCTCATGAAATTATAATTATGAAAACATCTCCAGGACATACTGATAAGGTTCAGAATAGTTTAAGAAAGTGGGAAAATGAGAATATATATTTGTATTTGCTTTATTTGCACAAAGAAGCACTGCTGAATACACAAGAAACTCATAAAAGTGGTTCCCTAGAGGGAGCAGAGATGAGGGCAAGAATAGGGTGTTGGAGCATGACTTTTAAACATATATCTTTTTATGAGTCACTTATTTATAAATAAATTAAAAAATGAAAAAAGAATCCAATAGAAAATGGGCAAAGATCATTAACAGTAGTTTCCATAAAAAGAAATACAGAAGGCTAATTAACAAGAAGAGATTATTGCTCTCACTCAAAATTAAGGAAAGATAGATAACAAAATGTCATTTTTCATCTAAGAGTCTGGCAAAGATAAAAAAGATTGATAATATCAAGTTTGGCAGGAATATGGAGAAGTGAGCAGTCTTTACTATAGGTAGAAATATAAATGGATATAATCTTTTTAGAGGGCAATCTGGCAATATGTATCAAAAATTTTAATGTGTTTTCCTTTTGACCCAGCCAATTCACTTCAAGGAAACTCTCATAATGTATATTCACACAAATGTGCTGAAGTATATGTAGTATAATGGTGTTCACTTAGGACCATTTATCATAGCAAAACACTGGAGAAATTTTTTTGGAGGGGACACCTGCATATAAATAGAGACATTTAAAATGATAATAAGAAACTGGTTGAATAAATTAAGGTATATTGATACAATGGAAAACTATGCTGCTATTAAATGAATTAGGAAGGTCTACACATATCGTCATAGAGAGATGTCTAAGTGAAAAAAGAAAGTTGTAGAACCATGCTTTCATTTGTGCAAGCTACAATATTTCTTTTCTAGAAGATATATATAAAACCCAAAATTTGAGACACATTCTCCCCTGAGTCTAGGTCACCGTATTAATTTGGTTTCTGAGCCCTCACTGTACCAGCCCTCATTGTATAGGAGCTTGAAAGAAAGTAGAACCTATGTTGTAGAATCTACATCTACAAAGAATTTCCTGCCTCACTGACAACGGGGATTATTAGAGGAAAATACCAGCCCTCTCCTGAAATAGCTAGAGACCTGATACTCACCGGATATCCGAACAGACTGTTAAATTCTCTGTTGTTGGCTTGCAGATACCTCTCTTGCTCTGAAAAAGAAGAGAGAAATGATGAGAAGGATGCCCCTCTGTAGATCAGCCTGGGATGCTGGCTGCTAATGAAGACTTCACTAGCTTCTCACACTTTCTCACTGAGGATATCTGCCCACAAATAGGATTTTGTCTCTCTATTCAGAGAATCAAGAAATACAATAAAAATAGAAACCCTAAAGTGTTTGTTGAAGCTTTCTAGAGGCAAGAGGACAAGTAACTTCTGAGGAGTTCTCCACCATTAATGCTTCTAGTAATCCTAGATTATGTTTCCACAGACAACAAGCTGGTGTGCACCAACATTACTGCCAAACACAGAAACCCAGTTCTCCTTCATAAGTTAATTACAGAGCCATAGTTTAAGATATCTGAGGTTTATTCCAAGGCAGCCTTTCCTAAACTTGCTTGACTAAATTTGAATTAATAAATAATTACTGAGCATCTACTGCACAGAAACCAGTGTGCTGGATGCTGTGGGGAGATAAAAAGATGAGTAAGGCAGAGTCCTGACTTCAAGGGACTTGCAATTTAGTGGAGTCAGCCTGATAACAACAACACATACAAAATCATCACATCAAAACACATAGGTGTTACAAACTATTACAAGTAGCCCATTATCATGTTATGAAAAGTATTAAAAATGTATATTATCAATAGATCTTTCTGTCCTGAATAAAACATTCCTATAGCCTCTTCGATTCTTCATTGGTTCAACAAGCATTTACTGAGTTCTTAGCAGGTGTCAGGCCCTGTGTTATGAACACTCACATACGAGTTTTTATGTGAACATGTTTTCATTTCTCTTGGGTATAAACATAGGAGTAGAATTGCTGGGTCATATGGTAACTCTAGTTTTAACATTTTGAGGAACTGCCAAAAAGGTTTTCACAGCAGTTGCACTATTTTACATTCTCACTGACAATGTATGAGAATTCCAATTTCTCCATATCCTTGCCAACACTTGTTATTGACTGTGTTTTTCATTTTAACCATCTTAGTGGATATGAAGTAATATCTCATTGTGATTTTGATTTGCATGTTCATAATGACTAATGGTGACATTGAGTAACTTTTCATGCGTTTTATTGAACATTTATATACCTTCTTTTTTTGATTTGTTTGTTTTTTTAATGAGAAAGGAATTTTTTAATTAATTAATTTTGGCTGTGTTTGGTCTTTGTTGCTGCCTGAGGTTTTTAGCTGCAGCGAGCGGGGTCTACTCTTTGTTGCAGTGCATGGGCTTCTCATTGCGGTAGCTTCTCCTGTTGTGGAGCACAGCCTCTATGTTCGCAGGCTTCAGTAGTTGCAGCACGCGGGCTCAGTAGTTGCGGCGCATGGGCTCTAGGGTATGCAGGCTTCAGTAGTTGTGGCGTGTGGGCTCAGTAGTTGTGGCTCGTGGGCTCTAGAGTGCAGGCTCAGTAGTTGTGGCACACAGACTCAGTTGCTCCGTGGCATGTGGGATCTTCCCAGACCAGGGATTGAACCCGTGTCCCCTGCATTGGCAGGCGGATTCTTAACCACTGCGCCACCAGGGAAGTCCTATATATCTTCTTTGGAGAAATGTCTATTCAGATTCTTTGCCCATTTTTAAACTGGGTTAATTATCTTTTTAATCACTGAGCTATGCATTCTTTATCTATTCTGAATAGAAATCAGTTATCAGATATGTGATTTGCAAATATTTTATCCCACTCTGGTTTTAAATGTCATTTTTATAACGTACTAAATTCTAACATATTGAATATAATTCTGGGTTTTCTATTAAGTTCCTTTGTTCTATCCATCTTTAAAAATATATTTTTTAAATTGAAGTACAGTTAGTTTACAATATTGTGTTAGTTTCAGGTGTACAGCAAAATTATTCAGTTACACATATATTTTTTTTCAGATTATTTTCCATTATAGCTATTACAAGATATTTAATATAATTCCCTGTGCTATACAGTATATTCTTGTTGCTTATTTTATGTATAGTAGTTTTTATTTGTTAATCCCATACTCTTAATTTATCCCTCCTTCCATTCATCTTTTAAATTATGTAACTTTTAATATAGGATAGCAAGTCTTCTTTTTTAAAGAAACCTTCTTGGCTACTCTTGTCTATTTTCTCTTCTAGATAAACTTCAGAATCATTTTGTCCAGTTTGCTCAAGATTAGAGTTTTTTTTTTTTAAATAAATTTATTTTATTTATTTATTTTTGGCTGTGTTGAATCTCCATTGCTGTGCATGGACTCTCTAGTTGCAGTGAGCAGGGACTACTTCTCGTTGTAATGCGTGGGCTTCTCATGGCGGTGGCTTCTCTTGTTGTGGAGCACGGGCTCTAGGCGTGCGGGCTTCAGTAGTTGTGGCACGTGGGCTCAGTAGTTGTGGCTCACGGGCTCCAGAGTGCAGGCTCAGCAGTTGTGGCGCATGCACTTGGATGCTCCGGCGGCATGTGGGATCCTCCTGGACCAGGGCACGAACCCGTGTCCCCTGCATTGGCAGGAGGATTCTTAACCACTGCGCCACTGGGGAAGCCCCAAGATTAGAGTTTTGGCTAGAGATGAACACAAATAAAATTTTATTCACTAAAATTCTGTGGATGGAGTGAAAGTGGGTTATTAGAAAAGGCAGAGCTACCTCCCATGGGAAGAACAGTCAGGTCTGGAAAATCACACTTCTTTCCTCAGGGGGCTAAGATGGTAGACTTCTGAAAGCTGAGGAAAGAGCCAATGATAAGACAGGGACTTTTATAGTTCTTCATGTAATTTCCTTTATTCCTCCTCTGGTTGTCAGCAAAAATGACTAAATATCATGAAATCAGCACAAGACTAAATTTCTTACAGAAAATATAAGGGGCCAAAGTCTGCACAATGGGCAGCGCTTGAAGTTCAGAGATTTGCACAAATTGTAGGAAAGGTGAAACTGGGATGTTTACCTCCTTTTACTCAAGGATTTGAGTACACAGATTTGGAAATTACACAGATTAATCTGGAGAGAGTTGACCTTTTTGCACTATTAGTCCCCCATCCAGTAGCATACTACATCCCTGGAGGGAGACTGGTGTGACCCCAGGAAGCCATTTCTTTGTGCATGATGATCATGTCTGTACAATCAGCTTGCTAGCAATACATAAACAAGTGGCTATAAGTCTTCCCTGGGCTAGTTTACCACCCAGTTATGCAGCTTACAGTTTGTTCTCCTGGACTAGTGTATTTCTTTCTTCTTTCATTCTTGTGATTACTAGGATTAGCTGAATAAAGAGAGGGGAAGTTGAGATGGGACTGATAGGATGTTTTGTTTTGTACTCTGTTTTGACTAGTTAGTGGCTTATTTACAATCTGGTAATAAAACAGCTTCTGCTAACCATTATAATTTAGGTTATCCAAAGCAGTGGAACATGTATGGCTCAGATAATTTAGCTGTGTCTAGGATGTAGAGCTGCTGCATGGCCTATACTTTTTCTGCAGGGACTTTCTCAGGGGCCCAGATGGCTGCCTGATTAGGGTAGAGTACCAGGATAGTACTGGTGTTTCGACTGACGTTGAGATTTCCAATCCACGAGCAGGCTACTTTTCTACTATGTTCATACTCAATTTGCTCAGGCATTGGTGAATAAAATCAGTCTCTCTCATGCCATTTGCCCCTCCAACCATACCCAACAGACCAGCACAGCCCCTCAATTTATTCAAAAATATTATTTTATGCCTCTTGATAAAGTTCTAATATTTTCTTATTGAATTTCACATTTCTTATTAAATTTAATCCTAGATATCACTAACTATTTTTTTAACTTAATAAAGGTCTAACAGGTTTTCCCAGCAATTTATCTGGGTGCAACAGGCTATTCTCTCTAAGCCCAGCAACCCCAAGGGATACATGGAGTTGAGGCTCTGCAAAACAACTAAATACATACGTCCCTCTTTGAGTTTAGGAGTAAAGTAAAGCAGGTAGATCCCAAAGTTCAGAGCCTGAGTTGGTGGAGACAGATTGAGACTTCTAAGTGGGGGACGGCATTAACCAACACCTAGTTCTGGCTCTTTGATCCCCGACCTACTATGAAAGAAAAGGAAAGAAGAAGGAAAGTAGGATTTTCACCAGGAAGGGAAGAGCAACTGAAGGCTAGAAAGTTGGTTTTCATAAGATGCCTCTAAAAAAAAGGAAAAGCAGGAACAATGAGAAAAGTGGTTAAAACTTCAGTTTGCACAAGCATCTAGGAGAAGAAACTAAAAGTCTGAGAGAAAAAGAAGACAAGCTTAAGGAAAGAAGGTAGCAAGTCATGTTTGAGATAATAAAGGCAGAAAAAATTTTTGGATGAGATAATGAAAGATTAATTCAAGATTCCCTAGGGCTTGTGAATATTGTTGAGAAAAGACTGTGATGACCAAGTGTTTTCCCCATCACTTGTTAATTCAAAGTTTATTTCTGTTTGACTGAAACAAGAGAGACAAAATGTGAATTATGGATGAGAGGTTAGAACTACAGAAGATTGAAAATTAGCTTAGACAAGGAGAGTCTGGGAGATGGTCTAGTTGAAGTAGTCATGGCTATGGAATTCAAGGGGACAAACACCTAGCTCTAACCTATGGTGACTGTGGAAAATGCATCCTTCATTGGGAACTAAGGGTTGAGTCTACAGCCTGTTCAGCGAAGACCTGGTTTCACAAGGACCTGTGCTGAGAGCTGGCCTGAGGGTGGTAAAAATCACTGAAATGAAAGGGTCAGACATCTTGGTGAAGCAAGGCAACTTGGTATTATAAAATGTGCAGTTGACTTAGAGTTAAAAACATGGCAGGCTTCCACAGTGGTTAAGAACATAGGAACTCGGGACTTCCCTGGTGGCACAGTGGCTAAGAATCTGCCTGCCAATGCAGGGAACATGGGTTCAAGCCCTGGACCGGGAAGATCCCACATGCCGCAGAGCAACTAAGCTCGTGCACCACAACTACTGAGCCTGTGCTCTGGAGCCTGCGAGCCACAACTACTGAAGCCTGCACGCCTAGAGCCCGTGCTCTGCAAC